CAAAGGACGCAACACTAAGTGAATCCGAAGTCATAAAATCCAAGAAAAATAGCACTATAAGTGGTCACCTTGACCTAGAAACAACCTTCGAGTGCAATCATTGGTAGAACTAATTAGCATAGAAAACTTTCTTATCAGAAACTATCAAGTGGAACAGTTATGCGTTTAAATCACAAACTTACCGACTTCTTTCGTGGCCTAACCTTGAACCTTTGTTCCAGAAAAAAAATTACGGTGACATTTATTCTTAGAATTCCGAATGCAGGATTATAAACATTTCTCCATTCCAAATTATAGGCGGAGTGTCTTCGTGATACGGATTATTCTCGTCAACAGTGCTCAAAATGACTGCGAACTTCATTGGATTGAAATGTTTATGAGAAAGGAAATGTTTTAATTGACTGATATCTCCTGTTTAGTTCGCTGCGAATTTGGTATAACTTGATTTTCAACCTGAACGACACCTTATTCGACATACGGTCTAAACGGACTAGTCAAAGTTCCTGAGGCTTAGGTATAGCCATCGGTAATTTAGAACTACTGACCAGAAGGTGAATAGCCAGTCAGCAGTACCCTCCGCCTACGTGACAACTTTTAACTAAATAACGAGAGTGATTACCACAGTTATGACGTCCCCACTGTTGAAAATACGGAGCATGTTTAGCCGAACTTTGTACCTTCAGGTCTGTAGCCCAGCATGTTAACTATCTTAGAAGAATAGTATATTTCAATCTTAGTAATACATTAAACATATCAACCGCCTGTCGACTTTCTTTTCAACTCTATTTTTAACGTACGTAGATAGATACAGAGCTATTCAATCTCAAAAGTAATACTTACCACACTTGGTTAAGCAATGCAAGTGATACTTCTCAAAATCATTCATCGTAAGCAGCGCCTAAAAGTCTCCTTTGTCAGTAAAGATTTTCACTTAGTGTAAAGATACATTACTCTTGCTATATAGTGACGAATGAATTCCTCCAAACCATCATTATTGACTATTCTCTAAACTGTTGAACAGCAAAGTATCTAGTAGTCGTTAAGCGGTATTGTTGGCTAGAAACCTATGTATCTATTCTTAAATGCGACATCTAATTGTTCAACTTAAGTAGTAAATTATACGCTAAGCTCATTTGCCTGTGCTGTCTGTGGATAAGCAGACTAAGGTGGGTGTGACGTCACGTTTTTCTCCATTTCAATTATTTTAAGACCTTAACTAAGGTCAGTCTACGTATAATAGGGAGTCTGCTTGTCCTCAGACGGAAGTCACAACTCGATCATTCGTGCTATGTAATCTATTATTTAACATCGTCCGACAGTTAAAAAGTGATACATGCACTATGGACATGTATAAAAGTGTCTACTGTACGACGGACCCCATGGTTTAGCTATAGTTAACTGTTGAGTTTGTTTGTGGATTTTGCGCAAAAGCTACATGAGAGCTATCCGTGTCTAAATTAGAAGTGATACACTAGAGGGAAAGCAGCTAGTCAACACCACCCACCGTCAGCTCTTCGGCTAAGCTAATTGAATAGTGGAAAGGGCTGAGAGGGCGAACATGTTCGATGATGGGATTCGAACCAGCGACACGCTGATTGCGAGTCGAGCGCTCTAATCACCAGGCCGATATACTTAATAAAACTGGTTTTGTGCAAAACATTGTTACACGGTCTTTACTGTCAGACGAATGGCGTTTGCTCGAAACGTCGGGGAAAATAAACTAGAAAAATCTTTCATTTAGACGTGTCAATTTATTTTTATTATCATGTACATAATAGCTCACTGTTGCTTCAGCTGCAGTATTTATTAAGTTAACAGGGCAACACCACATATTCTTTCTAAGCTAAGCCAGCTTGGTTTGAATTTCGCGCAAAGCTACACGAGGACTGTGTGCGCTAGCCGTCCTTAATTTAGCAGTGATAGATTAGAGGAAAGGCAACTAGTCAACACCACCCACCGCCACTTTTTGGGCTACTTTTAACCAATGAATAGTGGGATTGACCGTCAAATTATAGCACCCCTACGGCTGAAAGTATGTACGAGTATGTTCGATGAGGGAGTATTCGAACCCGAGACCCGCAGATTTCGAGTCAAGCGCCCTAACCACTTGGCCATACCATACCTTGAGCTAAGCCAAACACATACAGGGTGGAATATGTTATAAGAAAATGATTCTGAAATGTGGAAACAACCACAGCCCATATAAAGTAGCAGTGGAATTAAATGTATCAGAACTACAGTTTGATTTTTATGTTTATATTTTTTGCTTTTGAAAGATACCCACTTAACTTACAAACAATACGAAGTTTTGAAATAGCTGTTTGTGGGATAATATACTTATTTCTGTACAATGTTTCGTCTCCTACAGTAAGAAATGATCAAGTACACTGTTAGAGAAGAAATGCTGTATAGAATATAAATCCAATATCCCACAAAAAAATTATAATTTTTGACATTGTTTGACGTTTTCCAGATAATGTGATCCCACCGTAAATGGATCGTTTATATCAGCCCTTGTCAACGCAAAATATTGATCCACTCAAATCATAAGGATGTGTTCAGATCGGGGATCTAGATCTTCCAAAACGGAGATATTCCTTGTAATTCATGACATTCGAAAATAAAGGAATATGGTTCAACTTCGGGCACCAGGACTTTCCGGAATGAGATCAGCAACAAGTCGTACCTCAGCCATGGTAAGCAAATTGGGGCATTTTGCATCAGGTTAGAATCCATGAACACAAAGATCAGTGGTAAAAACCGTCCATATGCCCCAGGCAACAATACGCAAGATCATCAAGAGAGATCTCTGTCTGTAAATAAGACCAACAGGGTATGAGTTTATACAGATAAACCTCCCCTTCTCCTGTCGCATGCTTCAAGCAGCTGGAGAATGAAATGAGTATTCATGCTATTGCATATAAAGGAATTTGTAAAGTCCACAGGGAGGAGTGGTGTGCTTTGGACATGACAACTGTAAGACGGTGGGGGGGGGGGGGGCTTTGGCAATGGCAACTACGCTGTAGGGCTATTGTCTAAATACCCATTCGTCAGATAGTGAGTAACCGGATGTGATGACATTGACCATAACGTTTTAATAAGACGTTCTAAACCCTCTTGTAATTTTATCTGAATCAATTTTGTACCTTTATTTTACATGTGTTTCTTTATCATTCAGGGTGTTCCACAATTAGTTATACTTGTTACTAATATTAGGCCTATTATATTATTGATGCTACACTCTTTATCCAATCATCTTGGGTTTTTCATGAAGAGGAAGATCCCAGAGGCAACACACCGAAGAAATCACGTCCCATTTTCCCATAGGATCAGACATCTGGGTAAACTCTGTATTTGAATGGTTAGCAGAATTAGCAATATATTTCATACTAAAATCTTTCGTTCAGGTATAAAGTGAAACAAAATTCTAAAACCTTAAAAATAAGACATTTCTAAATCACAGTTATTTCAAAGAAATGAATAGACAAACTGTGAGTATTTTAGCGAATATTCTCTCGGAAACTTTACTACTCCTTCTCATCCTCTCTCAGCCACTCATGAGCAGCCTTCAGTAGCCATGCGAGAAGACCTCTAGACAAACAAGTACCCACCAGAAGCAATTGTTTAACACTTTTACAATTTCCAGGAAAATATATCTTGGAAAGTACTAGAAATGATTATATCAAGACGGCAAAATACACATTTTTAACATAACATAAATCAAGTTTTTTACGTAATATCTAAGAGGAAAATTTGTGTTCAAGGTACGTTTAAAAGCAGAGTGACTTCCTTTAAAGTGAGCTTAGAAATTGGGGCATAACTTACACTGTTAATTTCTATTATATATATATATAATCAGCTAGAAAATAGATTAATATTTTTTAAGGTGGGATACGGTCTTAGAAAATCTCACCCAACATCATCATTTGTTCCTGTAACGAGTTACCATCGCCTATAGTTACACATGGCATTCGTAAACCACGCTTTCTATTTGGCTAGTCAACAGTTTAATGTACGCAATATGTACAATAAGCATAAATGCTTACATTTTTATCATACTGCTTTGTTAATTACGGGAATACGAAAGTTTACATTTTGACTTTAAGAAAACGTGATTCGGGGTAAAATAAAACGAACAAGGCTACCCTTCAACGTTTGTCATAAGAGTTCATCTTTAGATTCTTCATGAGCCGTTCCCCATCTCATGGCCCGGCATGGCCAGGTGGTTAGGGCGCTCGACTCGCAATCTGCGGGTCGCGGGTTCGAATCCCCGTCACACCAAACATGCTCGCCCTTGCAGCCGTGGGGGCGTTATAATGTGACGGTTAATCCCACTATTCGTTGGTAAAAGAGTAGACCAAGAGTT